GTTGCTGAAGATCAGAAGCGTACAAGCGTCGCCACCAGCTGTTTGCTCTGTGTGATGGGATGGCAAAGATCCCTAGTTTAGCTCTTCTTTCTCCATCTGTTTGTACTTTTTCCTTTAGAAACGCTGGGGGGTGCAGAGGAGTCTGAAAGACTTTGCTCCCCTCCGAGCTGTGGAAGAATGAGGAATTGGTAGTCCTGTGCTCGTGTACTCCCCAGGACTGGGAAATTTCCTTTAGGAAAAGAGCAGGGAGCAGCCTTGTTTTCAAGGGGCGAACAGTGACATCCATACCCATACCTGTGGAACTCCTTGCCAGAGAATGTTGTGAAGGCCAAGACTATAATAGGGATCAAAAAAGAACTAGATAGGTTCATCAAGAATAGGTCCATCAATGGCTATTAGCCGGAGTGGGCAGGGGTACAAAACCATGTTCTGAAGTCTTCCTAGTCTGTTTGCTAGAAGCTGGGAACAAGCAACGGGATGGATCACTCAAGCGGAGCGTCCACACCTCAAGCGCACTTTCGCACAAGTCAAATGAAAAACAGAGGGGTTTCCGGTGTAGGTATTTCTCCTTCTATGAGGAATAACTCCTCTTTGCGCAAGAGATCTTGCGCAGAAAGGTGTGTGGGGACGGGAACAGGGTTTTTTTGCTCAAAAACACAAAAGAGGAAAAAGCACAGGTGCCCTGGTGGCCATTCTGTGGATAGCTATCAACGCTTTCTTTCGAGAGAGCGGCCATGCAGTGTGGACGCTCTCTCATGCAAAAGCACAGCGCTTTTTCGATCTCTTCCGCAAAAAGCTTCTTGCGCAAGAAGCCTGCAATGTAGATGTAGCCTGAGCTATCTGGACCATTAGCCTAATCCAGTAGAGCCGTTCTTAGGGTCATATTGTGTAGAATCCTCCCTGACAACTTGGAATGGTACAAATAAATAGAAGGAGGTTTAGGTTGGACACAGGAGCGGCCCGAGGCCGGCTGTGGCAGCTGGCGCCCCAGGTGGAAGGCGTAATCACGGAGTGCCTAGTTTGCCTAGGTCCACGGGCCGCCCCTGCATGTAGTTGGGCAATGGCAGGCTGTTTCATCAGAAAGTCATCTCCCACTGTAATCACTAAAGCTAGCTGTGGGTGTAACTGTAAGGAAGAGACAACTGGAACTAGGGCCAGATCTACACTACCACTTACTTCTGTATAACTTATGTCACTCGGGGGCACCTCCCTGAAAAACATAAATTACCCTGACCTAAGTGCTGGTGTGAAGAACTCGATGTAGGCAGGGTAGCTACCACCTCTTGTGGAGGTGGATTCATGATGCTGGCAGGAGACCTTTCTCCTGTTGGCTTGGAGCATCTTCACCGGACATGTTGCAGGAGCACAGCTGCAGCAGTGCAGTATTTCTAGTGTAGACTAGCCTTGTATCATACAGAGGGTGTTTTGTTAGTAACCTACATCTGGTCTCACCAGGGCTACCAAAAGACTTGCTGGGACCCTAGGCAAAGTGTGGGGACCTGGTTCTAGGCCCCAAAAAGGGGTGGGGCCTCAGATGAAAGGAACAGGGCTAGGGGCTAGCCTCCCCCCAGCCAGCCCTTCAGAGCTGCCTGCCCCAGCCCCTGGCAGAGGTTTAAAAGTCTCAGGGCTCCAGCTACTGCTGAACGAACAGTGGCTGCATTTGGGAGCCCTTGGCCCTTTTAAATTTCTGGTGCTCTGGGACATCTGCCCCTTTCCACCCCTGTCCCCCACTGGCAGCCTTGAGTCTTGCCTATGTCATTTGCCTTTTCCATTTGTTTACTGCCTTCCCTGTTGTATTTCTAACTCTCCACAGCCCATTCTTCTAAGATATAGCAGTTGGTCAAACTCTTTGCTTTGTGCCAATCCCCAAATGTCCCTTCCAAGAAATATATTGGGTACATCTAGGTGCTTGGCCGTGCTGTGAGAGGATGGGACTTGATGACCTCCCGAGGTCTCTTCCAGTTCCAGTATTCTATGATTTTAAGACAAAACAGAAGAAAAAGGGTATTTTAAATTCATTACCCAATGAGCCAAACTCTGCCATATGTTCATAGCGAGGTTTCAAACCTAACGTTCTGTTCGGTTTGCCAAGGCTGGGCAAAGTTAGGGTTTGAGGAGGAAATCATGGGAGAAGACTCAGAGTAGAAGAAAGTCCTGCTCGCAATTCCAACCCTAGCCAAGTCCCACCCACAATCCCAGTGTGGCTGGAGGTTTCTGCCAAACGATCAATCTGCCGCTGGGAGGAGATGAATGGAGCCGGTTCACAACTCCTCAAGTCATGACTCACTCTGTCTGCAGGCTCAGCAAGAGGGTTGTATTCAGAACAGGATGTTTTCGCAACTTTCATGCCACCAGCTGTTGGCTGGTAAGGGCTGCTACTGTCATAGCGCCATGAACAGGCTCTGTTCGAAACAGCCCTGGCGCGTGGTTTCTCTTGGAAGGGATGGCTTTGACTGCATTTCCCATGGGGCTTTGTGGGCAGATTCAAACTTAAACCACAGAAGGGTCCTCGGAAGCTTTGAACCCACCTGACCCAAAACTAAGGAAAGTTTTGCACCTCCCCTTGCAGACTGGCCCAATGTTCCAGCTGCTTTCTTGGGGCACAGGGGTGCCGGTGTAGCAATGGTAATGTGCCTAGGAGCATGCATAGCCCGCTCCTGACAACCGATCACTTTTTTTGTTTTTAATAGAGATAAACCTATCTCATAGGACTGGAAGGGACCTTGAGAGGCCATTGAGTCCAGTTCCCTGCCCTCATGGCAGGACCAAGCACCATCCCTGACAGATTTACCCCAGATCCCTAAATAGCCTCCTCAGGGATTGAACTCACAACTGGGGTTGGCCTCAGGTGCCAGACTGTGGGGGGCGCCACTAAGACCCAGCGTGTAGAATAGTGTGTCTGCTGCTGGTGCAGATGTAGGCAGCAGAGCAGGGCCATGAGAGAAGCAGAACAGGGAGGAGGCAGAATTGAGACCTTGCCAAGTTTTGGCCCAAGCGAGGCGGCCTGGGGGCGTCATTTGAGCTCCCCGCCTCCGGTGCCAAAATGTTGTGGGCCGGCCCTGCCCCCAGCCCTGGGTTTATCAGGGTAATGCTCAAACCACTGAGCTCTCCCTCCCCCCAGCCCCTTCTCTTGGTCAGGGCGGCCACTATCCTTTATTAATTGCCAAGGTCCCGAGCTGAACCGGCCGGTTTGCTGTGCTGTCCGGAGACCAGACAGATCCTCTGGCAGCAACCGATCGGTGGGAAGAGGAAAGTCCATGCCTCGTCACCCCAGCCTCTAGCGCAGGGTCAGACTGCGAGGCCAGAACAGCCGTTGCCCCTTTTTTAGAGTCAGCGTCGGATGCAGCAAACTTCCAGCGTACCAGGTGGCAAGATGTTGAAGGGGCCTCTGGGCAGGCGGTTGGGGCACCTTGCAGAAGGCGGTTCTTCATCCCCGCAGAGTGGCAGCCATCGGTTACTATTGCTCGACTGCTCTCAACTTCCAGCGTACCAGGTGGCAAGATGTTGAAGGGGCCTCTGGGCAGGCGGTTGGGGCACCTTGCAGAAGGCGGTTCTTCATCCCCGCAGAGTGGCAGCCATCGGTTACTATTGCTCGACTGCTCTCCAGGCGCATGGTAACCGAGGCCTTTCCATGCGCCTCTTGCAACCGAGATGGCCAATAGGAAGCGGCCCTGGGGGAGAGAGGGACGGCTTGGACTGCAGCGACCCCCGGCCTGGCGTGAGGAGAAAGGCCTTTGAAAATGCCAACAGCTCGGGCAGCTGCCCCTTGTGGCTCTCCACAGCTGGAGGAGCAAGGGGCCCCCTTATGCACTCGCTATGGGGCGGGGGGGGAGGCTGTCTTAAGAAGAGATTTTCGCTGTTGCCATAGTGACGTGAGAGCTCAGCACCGGCATGGAAACCAGGCAGACAAAGCGTCTTTACTGCAACTTGCTCTCCCGCTCGGAATTCTGGTTCTCTAGCGCCGAGCCCTCCCCATCACGGACGGGCCATGCTGCCCTGGGGAGTAGGAAGGCATGGGGTCCCAGCCAGGAGTTCCTGGCGGGAGTGACGGGGACGGTCCCGATGGGAGGAGGAGGAATCTGGTAGTTAAGCTGGCCTGTGAAAGACACAAAATCCATCACTGATGCGCCATCGTCCGCCCTGCATCCGGGATTTCGTTCCTGCGGAAAGACTTGCCCCAACCCAGATGAGCTAAGCTCTTAACCGCAGGGTCACCCCTTTGAGTCACAGGCCTCTGACAGGAAGGTCATTTTCAGACACGGTCATCGTGCCCGGAGGCATGGCCAAGAAGCTGATCTGAACTGGAGGAGCCAGAGCACGGATTGAACCTCTCTAGTCCAGAACTCGCTGGTCCAGAAGCATCCGTCGTCCGGAGCTATTTGAGTTAGCCGGACGCCCACTTTTCATGGGTGTGGCACTGTTTCCTGGGGTCCCATCAAGTTTGTTTGCAGCCCCCAGTGCTGGCTCTCAGTGTTCTGTGCTGTGATTTCGCTCAAATTTCCCCCGAAATGTCCTCTTCCACGGCTTAGTGCTGGCAATGCCACTAGACAATAGCTAGACCCCAGCTCCCGGGGTCTGGAAAATACTCCGGTTCAGAACCAGGCAGGTCCCGAGGGTGCCGGACCCGAGAGGTTCAACCTGTACAAATGAAAGACCTGCCCAATGAAGCCACGACTTGGGCAAACCGCCACGACGCAGCCTGGATTTCGAATTGGCAGATTTCTAATTGGCGTTCCCCTACTATCTTCCTCCATGTGACCCGCTCCTGACTTGTCTGGAGAGCTTTGCACAGACCTTGGCTGAGCTCCCTGCACGACAGACCACGCTCGGGGCCTTTAGAGGGGGCTGCTTCGCTCATGATGGCGAATGCAATCGGGAAGCTGAGGCGGCGTGTCGGGTACCCCCCAATCCTGCACCCCCGTCCGCAGCAAGATGAGACTCCGCCAGCCAGTAGAACAGAGAGGGCTTATTGCTTCTCCAGGATACAGCCCAGCACAGACGTGATGTGGTTACAGGAGTCAGGGCCAGGCTGCCTCAGACCCCTTGGGGTGGGGTCCACAGGCCCCTGACCCCTCAGAACTCAGCTTAGCCACTTCTCTTCGTGTTTTCCCAGCCAAGACTTCCCTTCTCCAAGCCACCCCCTCCCTTTGTTCAGCCCCTTTCCTCCTCAGGTGAGAACCGGTCGGGGGGGCCATGGACTACCTGACATGAGGGCCCTCAGGGCGACCCCCGCTGGGCCGTGCTTACAGACAGAGGCCAGTAGGGGTCACCCACAGCCCACACAGCAACCAACGAATGCCCACTGGGGCCACTAGAGTAAACAGCCCCCCAGCTCCGTGTCAGAAGCCTCCCGTGATGCTCTGTCCTCCTTCGCCCCGCAGATTTCTGCCAGCTGATGAAGTGATTTAGGAGCATCACCCACGCCCAGCTCCTGCCGGAGACGTCACCGAAGCATCAGAAACCAAGGTAAAAAAACCAATCGTCTCTTGTTGTCCAGTGCAAACCCGGCCGGGAGGCCCGCTACAGGCGGCTGC